CAGTTGCGTGGGTCCCCCCTTCGTACAATTTGGAGGGAACAACGTAAGTCCGGATGAAACTGTCGAAAACTAATGGTACGTAAACAGCACCAATCAGCGGCATCAGGGAAGGGATAGAAGAGCTACCGTGACCAATCCCCAAATTGCCTTAAAAAGCTCAATAATTAAGAGGGTTTCAGTTGGACACAGAAAAAACACCGGTGACCCATTCCAACATGCGTTTTTCACGATAAAAAGGGAGTAAGACGCGGAAATTGTCAGTTTGAATCGACTGTTGATCAACGATCCATCGGCCGCTGAAGATCCCTCCGCAGAGACCAGCACGGAGAACAAACTCCATGCAAGCATTGAGCATTCCTTCCAATTCTCGAAATTCAATCAAGGAACGGTAAGTGTCAATGTCCTTTATTATCGAATTTCTCTGCTTTTCTATTTTTCCATTCTCCGTCCGACGCTATTCACCCTGGGTCTGCGCGAAATAGGTCAACTGGTGCACTGTTAGAAAATTACTCTTGAAATTTCAAGTAAAAAAGCTTGAGACTTTTAACAACGACAAAGTTATATGAAATTCCTGTCTATTTCTCCATTGGCGATTCAGTTAATTTAGGCAACAACTTTGTTGAAACCTCAATCTATTGAAAATTAAATTTTCAGGGACAATTTGGATTTTCAAACCCATCGTGAAAATTAAGCGATATATTTAACTGAATTTTCAACAGATTGAAAATTCAGAAGAAAAGTTGCATATTCAAGAAAATTGACTGATTTATTAATAACAAGACCAATGGAAATTCCATGTAAAGTATTCTTTGTTAGAAATTTAAAGAATATAAAACTGAAATAACTGACATATAAATCTCAATAAATCTCCATATCAATATCAATATTCATTGAAAATTTGAAGATTTTTTACTTGAAATTTAAAGAGTCATTTTCTAACAGTGTAAGAATCAGCAAGTAGATATTCTCTCTCTGCCGCTCTCACTCAAGACATAATTGTTCGCAATACTGCTAGCAAATTTCGAACAGAATGCTTGCCCTTAGGGCTCGGAGACAGCCGATTCATATAATGTAACTAAAGGTATTTTTACGCAGCTCGTCTCGTTTTCATTCTATTAAATGGACCTGATTCGGTGGTAGTGGAAGTGAGTTTCTTTGTGTATACATACCAGGTAGCACTCGGCCTAAGATCTTGGACAGTCGGAGTCAAAAAAATCCTTGGCCGATACGCTACCGCGACTCCCAACTGTTGACTCTCAGTGAAAAAAGAATTCCTCGATCAGCCACTGATTTCCATGGACATCGCAGATTGAATATAAAAAAGCCATTCAGTAGTTCACTGAATGCTTCCTGAGTGAGAGCGAAATTTCCCTACCTTGTGGTCTAGACACCATTTACCAGAGGATAACATCGAGATCGTCAGATAGTGGGAAGCGTTGAAAATCCATGATCTTGAAAATTTAACCGCTCTGATTCTCCAATTCCCCGGGTGTTTCTAATTAAAACCGCATTGAATAAAAACCTCAGGAATACTCTCAGCGCTAAAGTAACAGGAAGAACGACAGAAAGAAAAAAAAAAATACGGAATGACTTTTCTTCTTTTCACTTGCACTCTCGGCAAGTGTGAATTACTCGCAAGGCTGAATCGCTTTATAATGGATATCAAACTGAACACAATGGGTGTTTCATACACACGAAGAGAATAGCTGAGATTCAGTTAATTACTAAGTGCATTAACTCAACCGACTGCTCTTGGGGACGAATTAACGAGTAGTGTGAAAAAAAATTAAAGGGGGGAGGGAAATAAAAACAGCATTTTCTTCATCGCTGGCCGGGGAGACAATGGGTGAACGCCTGATCCTTCACCTTGCCATGAATTTGTCACGCTGCTTTCACTCATTCTTCAAACTGTAAAAACTCCGAGGACCGTGAGGAAAAACCATTTTGAATTTAAATTCTCGAGTTTATGCATATTTAAGCTAAATCCATTTGATGAAATACGAATGTTTTCATTATGCGACAGAAATTTTTTTCTATTCTCTGGTGAATACACATACTTTGTATCCATCCCCGAGAGAATATTGATTATCTGATAGTGGAGGAGAGTACTTTGCATCTGAAAAACTGGAGAATCGGGGGGAAATGGAATTTTTATAGAAAATCGGATATCCGGGGGAAGATTTTTCTTCTCGCTGTGTGATTTTGAATTCAATCTCCATTTACGATGTCCCTCGAGCATATCTTCGGTCGAGAGAATGATTTTTTGAAGCCCAGATGAGTGAATGCAAAATACAATTTTGAAAAAAAAGGAAATTTCAGATTTCACTGAAAATTCAGTGAAATTCGTAATTTTTTAATAGCCAAAAATTTTTAACAGTCGACAAAGTGAAATGCACAAAGAAAATTAATCTTGATACTTCACAGAACTTTTGAAATTTCATCACGCGATGTTTCAACAAAATGTTCTCACATCGGAGTTGATCTTGTTACTCACTTATTTCCCGAAAAATCAATTCACGATTAAAAATAACCCCAAGATGTTCAGTAACGGAAAAACTGCGACATTGCGCCAAAATGGATACGCATGATCTCGAAATAAACGCAGGACGTAGACGACGCGATGACTGTGCTCAATTCTCATCTTTAATTTTCGAAGAACACCCGATTGGGAGCTGAGTATCATCACGACCTTGCCCGATGACTCAGTTCACCTTGTTGAGAATTATAAGATGAATGAACGCTACCACCGATGCAGAATTCCCCACTGGATTTGCCATTAAACAGGTCTGTGCAAAAAATAATAATGAAAATGCTAGTGACGTCGGAGCAATTCCTCTCATAGTTTCTTTGGCTAGAATTTCCAGGACTCTGCGTCACCGCTGGGGTTTTCGTCATCGTTGGTAATTACTGAGGATTCCTTCCAATCTCCATAATTTAATCAAACGAACTATCAGTCAATGTCCTTTACTATCCAATTTCTCCACTTTTCTATCTTCCTATTTTCCCTCCGTCGGCTTTCACCCCCGGGTCTACCCGAAATTGAGTCATTTATCGCTGTAACTCAGTTTCTCGCTTCCTTTGCCCGTCGCATTTGCGCTGTATTTCAATACTTTATCCCGAACATCACGATCCCAACTAATTCAACAACAATTCACTTCTCGGGAATCGCTAATATCTCAAATATTCTTTTTTAAATTCAATGTCCAAAGCGTTTCTGCAGAATAAAATTTTGTCTTCTAAAAGTTTTCAAAATTTCTGAAAGGAACTGCTGTATAGAAATTCATCAGTTTTTTTTACATTTCGTTAGCGAAAATACCAAGAATAGTGAGGAAATGAATTTTTATAGGATTATTCAGAAGAATCTGTCAAGAGTGAATATAAATTTTCATTGGAGACTTCCTAGTGTCAGTGATATTTGAGAAGAAATTTCAATAAAACTTCAATCTTCCACTTCGGTGCAAAAAAATATCTTGCCATCGAATATTTTTTCCAGGGAAGTCAATCTTTTATTCAAAGTGAAAATACCAAGAATACTGGTGGAATGGAATTCTACACCATCAGAATTGCCTTTCCGGGAAAATAGGGATCAATCGATCCAGCCGAGTTTTAGTATTCACATTGGAGGTGTGTGTTTTGGTTGTGTCCTTCGCGAGATGCAGCGCAATGAATGATTTTCTATTCAGAGATGTGATTCATTGGTGCGCGTGGTGAGACTGATTGATGGGTATCAGTTATTCGTGTCGCTCTATTGTAATATCATTCAGCGAGAAACACAACGTATTTTCCCAGCGGTTTCATGGCTGCATTAATACATCAAATTTGCCTGAGACAATTCCAGTGGAAATCGAAATGACTCCTCATTAATTAAAATGATGCATTGAGCATTGGGGTCGATTACTGATGAAATAGTGAAGTAGAATCATTTATTTAGAAGCTCGAAACGCACAAGAAACTTTCTACCGACCGATAAATTCATTACGACTGACGTTAATACTTCATGATAATAAGCAATTAGTTTGAAGTGGACAAGTGATATTGAGTGTTTACGATTTCATTAATGACATTCATCCAAAAATTGTCTTTGTGATCCAGTGGAGAAATCGTGAAGGAGACAAGTTCAGGATTTGGAGATTATTTTGTCAACATCTGAAACTAGTGAGTTTACAAACTATTGTCAAGAGACATTTTCACGAGAATTTTATGAATTGTAAACGAAGTCATTAGTCAGTTGCCTCTAATCCTGTCATTTTTCAAGACAGAATGTGAAGATTGATGATCAGAAAGTCTGACATTTGATGAAAACTCAACTGATTGATTCACCTCTCCGATGATAATAATATAATCAGATGCGTCAGGAATTGAAAAATTCGAAATTCGAGCCTTGATCCTTTTGATCCTTGTGCGAGTGACAACAACACGGTGAGAAATTTTCAATAAAAATTATGGAACTCATAGTTCGCTCACTGATTACGGAATCGACTCAGAAAATTCAAGTGACGGTCTCGTAATTTTTCACAGGAGATTCAGGTAAAAATTACGCAATGCTCTGAAAAAAATCCGTGATTTTAGGTAAAAACTACACGTCAGTTTCGTAAAATTTTCCGGAATTACGAAAAAGGTACGGATTTTTTATTGAATATTTCTCTCCGTGAAGGATCACAAGCTTGACCCTCTAATTTTTCAATTCCTTAATTTTTCTCGACGAACTCTGCATCATTTCCCACCAAAATTACATAACCCGGATTTCCAAGTCCGAAAAATACAAAGCTTCCACCTGGGAGAAAAAGAAAATCAGAACCACAAGGATCCGAATAACATAGCCCCATAAATAAATAAATCATTAATGCACTTGCTGGGTCTAGTGTGAGCCGTGACTTTTCCTCAAACTGGAAGGGGGATACCATGTGAATAGGCAAGGGGGAGGGGGATGGTGGGGTAGCTGGAGACCGGGAGAACACGCGGAGTATCACGACTCAGTCAAACTCGAGGGACTTGTCGGGCTGGTGAAGTCTACTCTCGAAATATAGAGAAGTGGTGGATAATTTAAATCCGTCGTTTCTTCTGGTTTTTCCTCTTCCCCACGTGCGTGTGTATGTGTGTCTGTTCGAGGCTCGGGGGAGGTAGAGGTTGCGCATGGGCCGGTGGAACAGACCCAGTGCAGTGGGTGCATCTTTGCGCTTGACCAGTTGCATCATGGAAGCGAGTCGAGGAAGAAACAATCCTAAAGGATCCGCTCCGGTGTAACACTTGTCTCGTATCCGAGGGAATTCCTGTCGTCAGTGCAACGAGATAATTTTGGAGAATTTTTTTTTTTTTTGAGAAAAGTGATCGCTCACTGAGACTCAAGCTGATGGTATACCATCGATCACTTCACATATCGATCGATCAATCAATCGTGAGTGATTTTCTCAAGTTTTGGATTTTTTTTATTTATTAATTTTTACTTGGGTTTTATTTCTTGGGAAGTGATCAGGGGTTTGAAGAGAGAGCTCACAGGGGAACAAGGCATTCGGAAGAAGCCCCCGGCTTGTGAAGTTATGAGATTTTTGTCATGTTTTTTTGGGATTTAGGAAACCGGTGAATTGGAAAGTCAGTGCTGTGGGGAATTGGAAAATTTACGGTCATCAAATATTTTTTGATAATAAAAATTGGCTTCGCAGGAAATAAATTATGCGGAATGAAAAATAATTATTGAATGAAAAAATGATTTAATAATTTAAATGAAAATTCTCTGAATTTTCCAATCAACATGTCGCGCTGAATAAATACGAAATTTTCTCAAAAAACTGAAATATCCGAAAAGCCCTTGTTTATCCACATCATTGAAATTGCCTCCGTGAACACAGCCGGAAGTTAAACATTTAGTCTGCACGCGTCGTCGCTGCGCCCATTGGAAAATGCTTTCACGATACATCAGCAACATTTAGCCGCGTACACACGTATATCTCCAGGAGTAACGGAAATAAAAAAAAAACCATGAGCGAAACCGATCGATCTCTAGTACACCTCGTTAAAATAATATTCCCGATTTCCGGCTGCCATTAGACAACTGGACCAATTGCGAAAAGCGATTTTTCAAATATCCTCCCCTCCCACTGGGACTTCCGTTCAACAGCTTCACGCATTTGTCTGATCATCTGGATAAATCCACGTATTTAATTACTCGTGATCAATTGAATCGAATTGAATTTTCTTAATGAGACTTGTTCATTTGCATCTGTCGTGAGGTAGCCACAATGCTTTCACTCTTGTCGTTTTTTTTTTTTTTTTTTTCCCTCAATGAAAAAGAGAGGGCAAGTGGACGGTGTAATTGAGTTCGCTTCATGGTGACTATTCTGAATAACTCGACAAACGGAAACGACTCTTGCAATTGTAAAATTCTTGAATATTACAATGAGAAAAAAAAATTCAATGGGATTTTAAAGAATATATTTTTAGATCTGAGGTACACGTATTTACTGTCACTAATGAGGTCATCAAAATGACTGTAAAAATGTAATTTTATGCTTCTAGTATGACTTAAAATGTAAAACTCAAATAGTTGCAAAGCATTAACTTTAAGTTGTCTTAATTATGCCTGTAATTCTATTGTGAAGTGATAACAGTCATTCTAAAAATATTTTCGGAAGGAGTTTTAAAAATTTTATCAGAAAACATTTACTGCGAATGAAAATGTTCACTTCCCCCGCAAAAATACTTGCGACAGAAAAATTTCAGATTATTATTTTGGTAATACCTCAGGAACTAGTAGTTCTGGGAAAAAATGTGCGAAAACCTTTGTTGTAGAGAATTTCAAGAACTACAAAAATCATTTTTTGACTTTTCTTCTTAAAACTACTGATTTTGACGAAATTTTCAAAATACTCTTTACGAAAATCTCCACTTCATCTCATTTCACAAATTCGATAACCGCAGGATTAATTTACAATCCCAAATGAGTTTCTTTGAGGTTTGAAAATTATTTTCCTGTCCGAGTCTATTTGTTTTTAATCATGTGAGACCACCTGTCGAGCCACTTAATGAAGATAGAGTACAAATTGTATCCATCCGAGTGATTACCACTGTTTTTCACTCGATTCACCATATCCTCTTTACTTGTCATTCAACTACCGACGCTCGAGTAATTATGCCATTAAGTCTTCTAGAGAAGCGCTCTCGTTTCAATTACACCGTCCAACGCGGATTATTTGTGATAAAACCAACTCTAATTGAGGATTAAAAGGAAGATGAGGCTGTGAGGAATGGATGAGTCTTTCAATTCCACCGATAATTATACCCATCGACAGTTGGAATCCGGAAAATCCGGGTGGGGGAGTCACAAAAAACTCGAAGACTGAATTATTGTGCTTCTGGGGAAGTTAGCAGTTATTCATAATCTTACATAATTCATTTTTTTTTCATTCTTCGAAACAGTGAAAGTCCACACATGGACTTTTATTCGTTCCATTGTGAACACGAAAAAAATCTATTGTTGTGTTCATTCCATTCAACTAGTGTGTATCAATCACCTTCGCATGATTCAGCATTTGTGAGCAATTGATGGAGACCAGGATCATAGGAATTTCGGAGATATTTTCGGAGGAAAAGGGTTTGAAAAAAAATGTGAAAAAAACTTCTTCTTTAGTCTTCTTCTTTAGGAAAATTCGACTGCAAAAGATCCTTTGGCTTTTTTTTATTCTACTAGCCCCTGAAATATTCAATAAGACACCTCTACACTGACCAAAGCAAAGGTTTTTAAGAAATACGTCTTCACTTATATGAAGAAACTTCTGGCTTGAAAATTTTCCAGAGTAAAATAGATTACACTGAGGAAATAAAAACTTTTGTCAAGTAATTTTGTACTTGTCTCAAAGACGAGGACAATTTCTTGACGATAAAAAAGCGATTTCTCAAACCAAGTAAAATTGAATTAATTCATTTAATAGTTTTTTTAACCTCAATTCTAAAATATTTTAATGCAAAAGCCACTTGAATTGATTTGAGAACTCGATTTCTTGATATGAACAGATTGTCCTCATCCTTCGGACAAGTATAAAATTTCTTGGCGTAAGATTTTTTTTTCTCAGTGTGAGATATTGAGCGCTTGGTAATTTTCAAGCCACGAATTTCTCGATATAACTAAAGTACATCTCAAAAAACATTTGTCATCTCAAGAGAAAAAATCTAATTAATGAGTTAATGGGGATTCGGTTCATAGAAATTCGTGGTATATATTACGAGGGAAAGGGTTTCGAAGAACAATGAGAAGAAACTCCATTTTCAGTTCATAAAATTCGATTCCAACAGATCCTTTGGCATTTTGTTGAAACCCACTAGCTGCCGAGATAATCAATAAGACATGTCTATGAAATTTTTGCATCTATCTCCAGTCTTTCTCCCAGCATTGGCAATTACAATCAGCATTATGAGAATCAGCACACAATAATCCAGTTTTCCTTCAAAACCCGACACTCACCAATCAGATGAAAAAGCGAAGTAAATGATCTTTAACTGTTGTATCTGGTTAGCAATAATAATAAATGTTATTATGGATCTAGTTGGGGGCGAGGCGAACAGAGGCGAGAAACGATAAAACCTTGGCTCCGACCTCCACCGCAAAATGCATTAGAGGTGTATCATTGAGTTCATGCTTGCTCGGTGAGTTTTAAGTTTTGATTGGGGGATAGAGAGACGTTCGTCGCCGGCTATTAAATCACTGGAGGGCAACCGCGGGGGTCAGTGCGAGCGTGGGAATGCGTCTACGGTGAATTTAAACGGTATCAATTGAGGAACAAAACTATAAATCTGATTGTGACATTAATGTCAATCTCAGCATAATAAATAAATTCGTTTGCTGGATGTGCGAGAAATCAACACATCGCTCGGTGGTGAATGTTTCTTTGGAAAGTTGAGAAAATTCCGGTCATTGATAAGATAAGAAGAACGAACTCTTTTTTCTTCAAGTCAAAATTAATTTATGGGAGATGAATGTCAAGAAACCTTTTTGCAGAGAATTTTATGAACTAAAAAAAATTAATGGAATAATTATTTTTGTGCGAATTCCTGAGTAGAAAATCATTTCTATAATTTCAACAGCAACAAAAGAATACTCGAAGGTTCATTCACATTCAACGGAATCGGCAAAACCTCCACCAACATCCAATGTTGCATTCTTCTCTTATTATCACCCACTATTTTCCCATATTATTCTCCATCCATGCACGAACCAACATTTTGTAAAAATAATGTCTTTCACCTCGGTAAAAAAATTTGAAAATTCCCTCACATTAATTTTTACGTTATTGTCCGAGGTACATTCACACACTCAGTCGTAGAATTAACATCCAAGTGAAAATTACAGTAGTTGTCGATTGCAACACGCCACAAAAAACACGAAGGCCAAATATGGAGAGGAAAACACGGAATTCCTTCAAAGTCACGAATCAATTGATTTAAACAATCAAAGAAAGGATTGACGGATTTTTTCCAGGGGAAAGGAGTGATTAAGCATTATCTAACAATGTCACGTACACTTCACAATGCTTGATAGGATTATTTAATCCACATTGTAGAGGAAATGCAATTGAAAATTGGTTGCACGGAGAGAAATATTCAATAAAAATTACGTATCTTTTCCATAATTCCGGAGCGAAATGTGGTTGTAAGAAATTTTACGGAACTGTCACGCAATTTTTACCTAATATATCACGGAATTTTTTCAGAGCGTTCCGTAATTTTTACCTGAATATCCTGTGAAAAATTACGATACCGTTACTTACATTTTCTGAGTCGATTCTGTAATCCGTGAGCGAACTGTCAGTTCCGTAATTTTACTGAACATTTCTCTCCGTGGGAGAAATTGGTTTTTACATTTTTTTAAAATTATGCCATCGTCTTCTGAAAATTGTGTGGCCAAAAATATTGAGTCTGTTCCCATAGTTCGTTAAACTTAAGCCTCTGGTTTTCCTTCAAACTCCCCAATTGATGAGGTCAAACAAAATCCGATTGCTGACGGAAATTTCCAGCGAAAGGAATCAGAGAGAAAGAGAGAGAGAGAGAGACCAAGTAGTCAAACAAAACTTGACAATGTCACGTAAACCCGACAATGTTTAGTAGAGCTATTCACATGATCTAGCGAATGTGATTTACGAAATACACGAGAAACACATATGTCGACAAAAGCCCATTCGATTAGCAGTCCGTTGTGGAATGTGAGTGTTCGATTGCAAGGTGGGGAATAATTGCTCTGGAGTTGAAATTGGGACGTTAACCTTGTCTATAGCCTGGTGTGCCTGTCCGGTGTCCAGTGAAAAATAGAACTAAAAAAATTGTCTCGATAAAAGCAGAGTGATCAGAACCGGTTTCGACGGTACTCCATTTTCATTCCCATTTGCATGAAATAATCTTAATGATCGG